GTGTGTGTGTGTGTGTGTGTGTGCTGCCGCAAACACTGTTGCCTCAGATCACATGCTCGAAATTTCTGCCGCGCTAATTGCAACGTACGAAAGCACGCGCCGCAAAGATCCACGCACTCGCGCCAATCGCCGATGTTCGAGTGGTGAAGACTGTGGCAGCCGCGCGAACCCGCGCGATGACGTCCTACGCGGCGCCCGGCGCGCTCTCATACATGATCCTTGACGCGGCCCCAGAAGAAGAAGTCAACAAAGGCGATAAGGTCGCTCCGGCCATCCATCGACCCGCGAAGAACGCGTCGAGATTAGCGGAAGGGCACTCCTCGAAAAGGTAGACGGACTGACGTGGCTCAGGACGTCAATTGATGCCATTGCAGTGTTCCTGAGCGGGAGGCCCTAAGGTTCGAGTCCCGACGGAGGCAGGATTGTCGATACTAGATAGGCAGTTAGGCTGAATTCAGCGGCGCCGTCTGGAGGAGAATTCTGAGGCCACTGCTCTGCTCGGTAGTGTTTTTTTTTCGGTCAACTCCAGGCGAATGCTGGATCTGTGCCCTAACAAACGGGTCATACACCATACGAAATTTTTCCTTTTTTTTTGTTCTATCCTCAGCCCTTTCTTGCACACACCATTACATGCACTGCACTACCACTTAAGTCGAGAGCTTAGAGCTGCTCTCGGCTGACACGGTGCCCCGCTGGTGGGAGATACCTGTAAGTGGAAAACTCCGCAAGCCGCGCCGGATCTCACCATCTAGCAAAGGAAGAACACCCCATCTCACGTGATTAGAACTTGTACTTCACTTAAGGGACTAATGACCATAGCATTTGATGCGACCAGAAACACGAAATAATCAAACGAAAAGGTAGGTTCGATATCGCGGCAACAACACCGGTAACGGGGTGAGTACTGTCTGTTGTACTACTGTCCCGGTACAGCGTGACATATCGTTTATTCATGCTGTATCAGCACGTCAATCGTATTTTCCGCGTTGTAATAAAGCTGTCAAAATCAATGTTGTCCCCTTTACGCCTGTTGCGTACGACGCCACCTTCCGTGTAGAGGTAAATGATGCCCTCTGTAGCTGTGAAGTACGATTCTCGGTAAAGTGGCGTTCTCTTCTCAGCAGAAATAAAAACATTGTGCAATCAAATTCTGTTCTGCCTGTTCTTGTGTATTTGAAAGTGAGTGTTTAATCAGATACTGTTGACCGTTCCATGAATTTCAAGTTTCCTCTTCCATCCATACATTGAAAGCAATCGGATACCCTATGATCCGTCTCACATTATTTTTTCTCTCTTCTCGGTGGGACTGAATTCCAGGTTAGGCTGTGGCTGGAAATCCACATACTTGCAGTACTACCAGAGTCTTTCGAGATAATAGAGGATGTGTTATGGGGGATCAGCACGTCGCGCGGCCTTAAGGACGGGAGTGGGTGTAGGATGGGGAAGGAAGCATCGGGCGTGCTTCGCGCTTCGATGTTTAAGGCATCAGCCTAGAATTAATTGGCAGAAACTACCGATCAGAGTAGGCGGTTCTCTGGAATTCTCAGCCAAGTAGCGCTACACCTCCACCCAGATACCTATCTGGTGTCGTAAATCCACCACTATTGCATTACAGAGCTTTAGCTATGGGACTTGCAATTGTATGTTCTCACTCCGTGAAAATGTTTAGCCGGTACTTTACTTTATTTGCTTTATTTTCGAAAAAAACAGTAATACTGCAAAAATACTACATATGTACAATCTAGCAACGTTTTATTGAGCTCCAGAAGCTCATCTTTACCCTTTTATCATATTTTATCATAAGGAACCATCTCAACATTTTCTGAATGAAAGAAGGAAATCAGACGAAAGATCTGATCAAGATGATGGTCATTGATCCAGAAGCTGAAGTACATAAATTATTACGGGCATATTTAGTATTTTCAAAATTATACAGTACAAATGTTAACTAATACATTACATATCATTCAGAAAATGAATATTATTTTTCATTTTGACGATCAGTGTAGTATTTAATGGTCATTGGGAGGGGTGTCCTTCCCCCATGCCGCATTATCCAAAGGAGCAACGAAGAGAGAAGCTGGGCCTCGCGTTCACAGTGTACTGTTTTGTTATTTTGTTGCAAGTCCAGTGTTTTAAGGGTGGGAGTGAAAAACAATTTTGAATAGAAATTTTCAACCACAACAGCAAGTAGTGATGATTGTTTGTTTCACTACGTAGTGGTCATGAGCATTGCTCCGAAGTCCGGTACAGATAAGGTGTTATACTCTACAGGTTTCAACATTGCGGGACTGTATGATGCACCATCGACGGGACTTTTGACCCAAGTGCCGAACGCAAACAGTCAAATTATATGTGTGTATTTTCATTTAACTGTAGAAAATATATTTAGACTAAATTGTACCAAAATAGGTTAAATGTTTTGAATTAAATATTCGACATGTTTGTTCCTCTTTCCATGAAAACAAACATGATTCGACTCTTGAAATTTTGTATTTCACTACGTATTCTGTATCCTCCACGATGTGTGGGTTTTAAGCAACACGATTTTACTTCAGTATTAGTATTTTGTCCAGCATCGGTAGCTGCGACCACTAATGGAAAGCCTGAAGGCCGCGGGTGCCTTAGAAAGAATTAAAATCGGTAGTTTCACCAAACAAAAAAAAATTAATTAAAAACATAGAATTACTGTAATGAAAAAAATTCAAAATAACATTGATTTTACTACAATTCAGTGTAAGACAGGGTATCACCCACACTCATTGCTAATTTATTCGTAATGCAACTTAATATAGTAGGAAAGAGAATAGGGATCTCCGGAGATCAAGAAAAGAGGCACAGATTGCATTTCTCCCCCACATGTCTAACAGTTTTAAATTCTTTATGTTTAATAAATAAGTGTATAACATATTCTTCTTTATATGACAAATACTATAGAACGCAAATAATGTCCTCTAGTCCAGTCAACTTCGTTAGTTCCTGATATACGTATTTGAAATGTTAATATTTCCGCCTTTGCTAGAGCCTGACAAGAATGGCATCTCGCCGCTGTCGTGCCTTTGAAGCCGCCGTACGAAGCGGAGGCTTCTTCGCAGCCCTGTAGCCGCGGCATTCACGCTCCGCGCCCACGCAGGGCCGCGGGGCGCAGCTATCGCGCGGAGGCCAAACTCCAAGGCGCGGGGCGCTCCACATACGCACCATCGAATTGCCGGAAGGCTGCGTGCAGCGGAGTCCTCGGGGGGAGAGGGGCGGGGTCGGAGGGCGCCGTCGCGCCCGCCCGGCGGCCGCCCCGCACCCCGGCCGGCCGGAGCCGCCCCGCCGCCGCCGCCGCCCCGCCCCGCCGACCGACCTTCCCGCATGGCTCACGTCAGTTGCTCTGATCCCCAGCTCCGCAGCGGACGCGCGGGCCTCCAGAGCTATGCTCCAGACGCCGCTCCTCCGCCGCCGCCAGAGCTGCTAACTCCGGAGGCCGCTCTTCACCGCCCTGCCCGCCCGCTGAGCCCCTCGCCGCCCCGCCCGCGCCGCCCGCGCCATCCAACTTCTTCCCGAAAGTCGTTGTCGCTGCCGCCGCGGCCGCCGCCACAGCGATGTTGGACAAGATCGAGCCGCCCAGACCCTACACTTGGCGGTCGTCCGCGGACCAGACGACGACGGATTCCGGCAGCGAGTCGCACCCCCTCATGTCATCGGACGCCAGTCGCCGAAGCTTCGGGTGAGTTCTTAACGCCCCTCGTGCCTTCCAGGTCTTCTCTTCTGACGCCTCCTCTTGTGATAACTGGTTTACATTTTCTTCTTCTATCGACTACCTAATCAATCCATTGGCTTTTTAAACTCAGTTCGGTTCTTTTGCTTACGTCCATTTCTATGAACGAGAGCTTGATGACATGATTTTTGAAAATTAATTATGTTCAATGAACTTCATTTAATATTTTTTTGTTCAAGAAAAAGTGCATTCTTATGATTAACCAGATAAGCAGTTACAAATAAAGAATTACTTTCATACAAATTTCAACAGATACGGAATTATTTTCATGTATTAGGAAATTTAAATAAACCGCGTCCGTATACATATCATTAAAAAATTCCAAGTAAATAACCTTATTTAAATAAGATAACAAATTTAAACGAAGAATTATGGCAGACAATTTAATAATGATATATGATGTAACTTTAATGTGCCGAAATCTCTTATTATGCCTTGTTTCATCATCTAGACCTTTTACAAAACTTTGAAATATCTTAACCTTTCTTCTTAGAGAAATTTGTACAGAAAGTTTTTTTACAAGTTTCGTAATTTCTGGAATATGAATGTAAATGTGGAAGCACACACGTTGTTGTTTTAACGATAGTTCATCGTCATTCACGCGTTTGGGCAAACACAAGCTAATACACACAAAATATTTCCAACCCAGCTTGTATGTTATGGTGATCACGTTATTGACGAAGAGCTATTTCAATGCCAAATGATTCACATTCCAATGTTTCTTAGCAATTTCCACTATTATTGGCTTTCAACCACTTATTCAAAACAATCAAATTTTGATTCTCGCTATCCGTGTTATAGAATCTTTATTTGTTAAGCAATTTGTCTAACCTGTGAGTAATCTCAATTAATGTTACCTAGCGACGCTTGTCAGTTTGCGAGTGTCGTACACTGCTGGACTGTCTTTGTTGAAGGTCGGATCCGTTCTCGATCGATGTTCGTGGCTTCTCGTTTTGAACAATAAATACTTTCGATGATTTTGTTAATTGTATCTCAATACACGCTCACTTATTTTGGTTTGTCTTGACATATCACATATCCGATGCAGCGTATTCTTCAATGTTCCGTGTATTTATATGGGGTAACGTTGCGTGTACCTTATCAAACCTCACATTCTGCGATATACTGCTTCATGCATTGTCGGTTTTGCGACAAGTATGAAAGTATTCAGACATACACTTCCCGGACATTTAATTATAAGTGTGAATAAATTAAGGGAAAAGCCCACATCATCTTCCTTTACATTACTTGGACAATTCCATCTACTTAATATTCAATCTCTTATATTGGTTTCCTCTTCCGCAAAACATTTTTTTTCATCCAAGAGCTTGGAATTTGTCATTTGTGTCCTGTTAACTGTAACATAAAAAGTACGAATTCTCCACATCGCTTTTTTAAACCGAAAAGAAAGGAAATGATAATATCCTGGTTACCCTTAATGTCATAGATTTTCCCGTGTGCCGAATCTTAAATGAATTCTATATTTTAAAACCCAATAACAAATTCACTGCTTTATTTATCAATGTTGGCTTCCACACAATGATGCAATTGTCGCTGTTACATTCTTGGTACTTTAGTATATATTCCTTTTTGAAATTCGGATATTTTTCGTTTCTGTTAGAGGATGTAGAACATAACTCTTTCCCTCGCTGAGGACTTTTCTAAATTCCACTCCTGCGAAGTCTTGAAGCCCCAGAATCGTCCCCTTGAAGCCCCAGAATTGAATTTGTGTAGGCTTGCGCTCAAGGGTGAAAAATACAGCGCGAGTGATCATCGAGAGTTCAGAATCAAGCTGTTTACAATAACGGAAGGGCCGCTTGGGTTACAGGACAATGGACAATTTAATGAAAATTAATAATTTACATTAAGTGCATGTGGTGGTTGTCCGCCTTGCTCTAAATCTGTGGTCTCTTGTGATAGTAGTGGACCATGCAGTGATACCAAGACGGAGCGGGTAGAGCGTTTCAACATCACATTCCTTCACAAAATATTCTTAGGACAACCTAACAGCTTACTAGTCGATGAATCGTATGCGTTATTTTCATGCTTTGGAATTACTTTAAAATATCTTTCTCGAGAATAAAATTCACGCATCACGTATTGCATAGTGAAAAGTCATTGACTTGTTCACGTACCAGGAGAAGTTCCAATGAAGTGTGCATTTATAATATAATTTTAATTAAGGTTAATTAGAGCAAATGGAGAAAGTGTTTTCACTTCTAGCAACGTGTCTAGAAAATTTAGGCTCAAACATTTATTTTATCGTCCACATTTGTATATAAGTTAGTCATACCCTCTCACGGAGGTGTCTAAAAATTGTAAATAAAACAAAATCTAATTTTAAGAAAAATAAATTTTCTATTTACATTTACCCCCACCCATCGGATAAAATATGAGTAAGCAACAACATTATTGTTTATTGCAGTAACCTCAGGAGAAAATGGATATAAAGTGTTCTAAGCAAACAAAACCAAGCAAAGATGTGATTTTCAACGGCGTTCCTTGTTGATTGAGCCGGTGTTTCAATCGATTATTGACATATGACACATTTCAAATTGTAAAATGTGTTTCAGATCTGTACTAGCGTTTCAAATTACCACAATCAGCACTACTTGTCGGATAATTTAGAGAGTTTACTGTGAACTGTCGGAGGCTAAAAATAAATACTATGATGACAATAAATTGAACGAATTGCATGTGACGGTTGGAGATGTTACGTCTGCGGAAGCAGGTGGTTTCATATCCGCATGTCAATCATGGGCACATCCTAATTCGCACAATTTGCTGTACAGTATTAACCTCTTACGCGCTCCATTGAGTTAACAGTAACTAAATAATTAGACATCTCAGGCGGCACTCTTGGTTGCGGCATTTCGGATTAGCGTCATAGCGAGATTTCCAAATTCGATTTGGAGGTTTAACCCTGATTAGCCTAGGTAACTGGCCAATGAGGAAGGCGGCATGATTCACTAAGACATTTATTGTGGCGTGTCGCTAATCACATAAACTAGTTGGATCCGTGCAAACAACTGGACATGTCTTAGAATGAAAATAGCTTCATACTTTAACCCCTTTCTCACAATTCGTGATACGAATTGGAGGTACCCTTCAATGATGTAAGCCGGTTGATTTTAGCTGGTAGAGAATTCTTGCTGCCGGCTGCTCTGATCGGTAATTTTCCTGCGATAAATATCAAACAACTGCCGAAGAAGTACCCTAACAAATGGGGCAAGTGGCGCGCGCGTTCTTTCGTTTCCCTTCCGTGTCCTCTCTCCTCTCCGTATTATTCACACACACTTGCACGACACTGCCACATTTGTCGGGAAACCAGTTGGGAGCGTACTCCTTGGTGGGGCGATGCCTAATTAAGGGGAGATTCCAGGAAGGGAAATATTCCGCAAACCCACGTGTAGGTCGTCGCCGGATCTCACACTCCAGCTGGGGAAGAACACCACAACCTCCTGGCTCAAACAATCCCAACACTACGGAAATAGTGACCATAGCAGTTGACGTGCTCGGCAAAATTTGTCAACCAAACCAAAAAACTGTAACCGGCGAATAGAAATGTTTAATTTGTCAAGAAACATAACTCGATTCCGTTTAGGAACACAAACTGTGATTTTAAGGACGTAAAGCGCATTGTCTTCGAGTTATGCGCGATGATCATAATATTTGAACTTATATCTCTTTTTCGTCATAAAACTGTTTGAAGCGGTAATTGCCTATTGTAACGTATTAGCCAGCGTGCTTCATGTCATCTATTTGGGGACGCTTGGTTGCGGATTAGTCTCGCCACGGGAAGAAGGGTTTTTCCGTAAAGGGAAGAACGCGGAGACGGGAGACACAAGGCTTTGGGTCTCTTCCGGCTTATAGAAGCTTTTCACTGTTATAACAAGCGAGGGGGTGGCGTGACGTAGTAGGTCACGTGGGCCTCGCCTATATAACAGAGTGTACGGAGCCAGTAGGCAGGTTCTGGAGACAGTGGGAGAACCTCGTGCGTGTGCACAAAACTTGGCGCCACGACGGTGCATATGCGAGCCAGGCTCGCGAGGCTGGAGTCATTAGTTGACGAAGCCTGCGGACTTTATGTCCTTGGGTGACTGCGGTCACGGGGGAGCGATGCTGTGTGCGTGCTCCGAGGTGAAGAGTGGTTGAGTGCCACGATTCACGCCGATTCTCAATCGGATAAGATCGCTCCTGCGATCGAGGCAAACCAGCCGTATGTGCGCCAGAACGGACTTTGTGTCCCAGCGTGACATCCGGTCACGGAAGCTAGGCTTTGTGCGCGCTTCAAAAGTAGGAGTGGCGAATGCCACAATCAAAACCATCTTCAATCGGGTTTTGGATCGCTCCCGCGATCAGGGGATAGTAGGTCTATCAGAGCTAGGGTTTAAGTAGATTATTAAGTGTATATATTTGTTTTGTTTTCTTGTTAATAAATATATTTGTTATACGAAAGCTCTGTGTCTGTGGTCGCTGTGAGTATCCATGACGTCACACTATATAGAAGTAAGACGCTTACGGACTTTCGTGCCGGTAGTTGCCTAAGATGTTGCTAAACCGTCATATTTACTTGGCGTATTATCGAGGGGGTAAGCCATTTTCTTTGCGGTGACGGCCAGCAAATTGACCAAAGGATACGAAAGAGCTGGTGAAGAAAACATGCTTCCTTTTTCATGAAAAAATATACCGGATATAAACGTAAACTTCAATTATATAGCACAATAGCTTTTGAGAAAAGCTTTATTGTTGGAAAACATTTACTTACACCGATCTAAATACCAAAAGTTGTATGGTATTTTTTCTTTAATATTTTATCTTGGATCAGAATATGCATGTTCTGACAATGAACACCCATGAAATATTTTATATTCTACATAAATGTAAAAATTTTTTCTGTCAGAAATACTTCAGTTTGTTTAATAGTAATGTGGGTACAGCGTTAGCAA